CCAACATAAGTTGTTAGAAAAATAACAGAATTGCCTAAATAGGAAGATGAAAATAGCACAAATGAGGCAGAGAACAAAGATATACAAAGAGGATCAATAAAGCTAAAAGTCAGTCCTTTGCCAATAAAATTGGCAAACTTTAGAAAAGACAAAATAAAATCAGAATCTCTGAGCATTGGAGGTCTGGTATCAAGTACTCTGCACAATCAACTGGAGAACTTTCGCTTTAGCACCAGAGTTGAGGATCACTCTTCTCACCTGTCACCTTTCATTTTTCTTAGGGATTTTATATTATGTAAGAATCATAAACTACCCATTTATTTCTATGGAATATATTCCATTCTTCTGTTAATAAATATTTATCGAGGCACCACCATGATAAACAGATGTGATCCTTATTCTCATGTTGCTTAGAGTCTAAAAGAGAAAATATTAAGCAAAGAAAGAATAAACTAATTTCATTGCTGTTCATAACAGAAAATGTAAAAATACTGTCTAAAAACATAAAGGCTTAAGGACATTATATAAAGTCATAACAGTAAAGGTAACACAAGGTTGAAAAATACAAACTATGTAACAAACCTGCACATGTACCCCCTGAATCTAAACGTTACAATTATTTTTTTCAAGAAGAGCTCCAAAAGGAAATATTCTGAACGCTAAGGTTAAAAAAACATAAAACTATTTAAATCAATAAATTATTACGACTGCTTTTATGCTACAATGGCAGAGTTGAGTAGCTTGACAAAGAACTCATCATACAGCCTGCAAATCCTAAAATATTTACTTTCTGGCTCTTTAAGAAAAAGATGGCTGGCCCCAGCACTGTATGAACAGAGTGAAGAGGAAATACATTCCTCTCAAGGGAAGCAGAGAACATCTGATAAAATCCAATATTCAAGGCTGGGCACAGTGGCTCACGCCTGTAATCCCAGCACTTTGGGAGGCCGAGGCGGGCAGATCACGAGGTCAGGAGATCGAGACCATCCTGGCTAACACGGTGAAACCCCGTCTCTACTAAAAATACAAAAAAATTAGCGGGGCGTGGTGGCAGGCACCTGTAGTCCCAGCTACTCAGGAGGCTGAGGCAGGAGAATGGTGTGAACCCAGGAGGCGGAGCTTGCAGTGAGCCGAGATTGTACCACTGCACTCCAGCCTGGGCGACAGAGCGAGACTCCATCTCAAAAAAAAAAAAAAAAAAATTCAATATTCAGTTATGACTTAAGAAAATAATGATAATGATTCCTGGCAAATTAGGACATATTACTTCCTTCACCTTTATCAGGTTAACCTGTAGCAATTATCACACTTAAAAGTGAAATATTAGAAATAGAGAAATAATAGAAATACTAGAAACATTCCCATGAAAATAAAAAACAAGGCAAGGATGCCCCTGCTATCCTTCCTACTTTTCTTTTTTTTCTTTCTGAGTCGGAGTCTCGCTCTGTTGCCCAGGCTAGAGTGCGATGGCGTGATCTCCGTTCACTGCAAGCTCCGCCTCCCGGGTTCACGCCATTCTCCTGCCTCAGCCTCCCAAGTAGCTGGGACTATAGCACCCGCTAGCACGTCCAGGTAATTTTTTTGTATTTTTAGTAGAGACAACCTCACCATGGTTTAGTGAAACCTCACCATGTTAGCCAGGATGGTCTCAAACTCCTGACCTCATGATCTACTCACCTCGGCCTCCCAAAGTGCTGGGATTACAGGCATGAGCCACCGTGCCCAGCCATCCTTCCTACTTTTCAATATAATATCTGCGGCCCTAACCAGTACACTAGGTCAAAAAAAGGGTATAAGGATTACAATTACAAAAGGAAGAGTCCGAATTGTCTTTCTTTAAAAATGGTATAGTTACTGGCCGGGCACGGTAGTTCATACCTGTAATCCCAGCGCTTTGGGAGGTCGAGGTGGGAGGATCACTTGAGCCCAGGAGTTCGCGACCAGCCAGCCTGGGCACCATAGTGTGAACCCATCGCTACAAAAAAACAAGAAAATTAGCCAGGCCTGTTGGCACATGCCTGTAGTCTCAGATACCCAGAAGGTTGAGGCGGGAGGATCAGTTGAGCCTTGGAGATGGAGCCTGCAGTGAGCTGTGATCACACCTTCACACTCCAGCCTGAGCGACAGAGCAAGACACAGTCTCAAAGAAAAAGAAGAAAATGGTACAGTTACCTACCTAAGCAGAAATCTATAACCATTAAGACTAATAAGAGTTGAGAAAGAGTACTAGATTCAAAATTGACATACTAAAATCAACATACTAAATGATACAACTGAATAATGGCTGGAAAAAGGTGATTCTGGCATCCACAGAAAGTAGTTATGCTGGAGTTTCTGGTTGACATTGCTGGAAATGAGGGGGTGGGGTTTCCAGCAGCAGATATTATAGTCACCCATGCAATTCCTCCTGTGAAGAAATAGAGGAGACTCAAGAAGTCACACTCACCAAACGTCTCCCAGACTGACTGTCATCCTTAAGTCAGAGGATAATTCATATGAGGTTTCTGTGTAAGAGTAGTAACATTCACAACGAAGTAAACCCAGTTCTTCGCAGGACTACTTCAGATCTCCACCCCATCACGCCAGCAAGCCCATGTGTATTTACTTAAGGCACCCCAGCCTCTTCTTAGTATCAGGAATTACTGTGTCTATGTATTTGGTTTCCTATTTTGTCTGCTTCCCTTTACTAACATGGACATTTCATGAAGTGAGGTCAGGGACTGTGTTTTGTTCTCCTTTGTGGCCCTAGCACCCAGAATAGTGCCTGGAGCATAGTAGATTCTCAATAAATGCACTAAAAGTTGAAGGGAAAAGATGACCCCTATGCTGAGTTTTGAAGGGCAGGCAGGAGCAGTGTGCCGGGTGGTGGAGGCAATGGTATTGTGCAAAGGCACAAAGGCATGAAACCATATGATCTGCAGGAAAGCCAATTCAGTATTGCTGGGAAGTAACATGCAAGGCATGTGATGGAAAAATTGGGAACTACTGGGCAGAGCAAAAAAGGGGCCAGAAGGGCCTTGTTCGGCAATCTTAGGAGTGGGGTCCTTCCCATTAAAGTGATGAGAAGCAAGTAAAGGAATGTAAGCAAAGAAGTAGCACAGATTTAGGCCAAGCACAGTGGCTCACACCTGTAATCCCAGCACTTTGGGTCGCCAAGACAGGCGGATCACTTGAGGTCAGGAGTTTGAGACCAGCCCTGCCAACACGGTGAAACCCCGTCTCTACTAAAAATACAAAAATTAGCCAGGCGTGGTGGTGGGCACCTGTAATCCCAGCTACTCAGGAGGCTGAGGCATGAGAATCACTTGAACCCAGGAGGTGGAGGTTGCAGTGAGCCGAGATCGAGCCACTGCACTCCCGCCTGGATGGCTGAGTGAAACTCCCTCTCAAAAAAAAAAAAAAAGAAGTAGCACAGATGTATATAATTCAATCTGGTAGCTGATCATAGACAGCAGATTTGAGAGGGTCAAGACTGGAAAAAGGGATCAGGAAATTATTGCTTTAGTTCAGAAAAGTACCAACAATTAAAAAAAATTAGTAATAAATACAACCATCCATATTAAGTATGTACTACTCACTCATACTTACGTATGTGTCAGGCATTGTGCCAAGTGCTTTATTCACATTATCTCATTTAATCTTCACAACAATTCTAAGAAGTCAATGCCATTCCTGCTTTATGGATGAGGAAACAGAGGCCCAGAGAGATTAAGTTAACTTGCCTAAGGTTATTCAGTCAGGAAGTGAGGCAGCCAAGATCCAAACTGAGCAGTCTAACTGCAAAGCTGGACTCAAAGCCGCTGTCGTGTGATGAACAGAATCAGACTCATGTACATAGTAAAATTCAGATGCCTTCTGATTTCTTTGGAGGTAGAAGGTGAGGTAGAGGGAAGTGACTCCAAGGTGTCTGGCTTGGATTACTAGCCATTAGAAGCTCAGAACTACAAAAGTCCTTAATGATCACCCAGTTGGGCTACCTATCCAATGCCGAAATTTCTTCTTTACCACCTCTAACAAATAGTTATCCAGCCTATGACTAACAGGACAACACACGGCTTAGCTGAGTCAACCTCTGCCTACCATTACCAAGACCCTAAAGATATCAAATAAGTTGGGAGTTGGGTCTTCGGAGACTTTTACCCACTGATTTTCATACTGCGATATGCAGAATTCTAGAATTCTGCAAGGACTTTAGAGGCTATCTCAGGCTGGCCCTTTCTCCCCTCTCCTGCTTCAACCAAGCACTACCAATTTTATAATACTCTTATGTTAAGGGTCCCTGTAAGATTTCGCTGGGAAAAAAACAGTACAGTACTTTTGAAAGGTTTCGTAATCACTGGTCCAGACCAATAACCCCTATTTCATGGCAAAGGAATTTGAGGTCCAGCAAATGCGACCTTGACTTGGTCAAGGTCACATGGTCATGGTCACATAGACAAGCAGTCACAGAGCAAAACAATCCTGCAAGGATTGGGAACCACCCCACCTCTCTTAGCCATCTTCTTCTCTCTGTTTGAACTGTATAAAACAATGTAATTTTTAACAGAATATTTAAAGTTAAAAATATATCAAAATACACATTCATTCTTTTTAGTTTTCCAGTATCTCTAGGTGTTGCCCTAACACTTAGTCCTCTCTGTCTCAGAACTGATATCTAGTGGAAGGTAATTTATATAATGTATTAATCACCACCTGCAAGCTCACGGTAACAATGGAGTTACAGCAAGAGATCTAAATTGACTGGCATGGTACAAAATCACAGGCATTCTAGGTAACATTTCTACCTTATTATTTATGGCCATGCCTAAGAAAGCAAGTCAATTCTATTAAAATATATGCTTTGGCTTGGGGTCCTTCAACTCCATGATTCTTTTACTCCCATTCTTCCCTCTTTAAAGCTTAAAACTTGTAACTGATTAAAGCTATGACTTGATTTAAAAAAAAAACACACACACACACACAAACATTCCTGCACATACGAACAAGGACTCAAGACTCACGCATTTCTATGAACAGCTGCCTCTTCTCTGCCATAGTCTTCCGCTTGTTCCCACTTTCCTCAATCATCCTAGAGACAAAGAAAGATACAATAAACCACTGTATAATTTGACAATTCAATCAAGTGCTAATCATTCTATTGTGAAGAGGTACAGGAAACCAAGTTGCAAATGCACATTTTAACAGAGTATCAGTAAAAATAAACTGGAAGCCTGATTCAGAAAAAGATAAACCACCGTCCTTTTATTGGATAGCTTCTAAAATATTGTAAATCAATACTTACATGAGCTCATACAATTGCTTACTGTGCTAAAAATATGGGGCTGTCTTACTTCTAACTTTATTTTCTCTACAGAGTCCTGGATTAGTTGAAGTAACTTCCCATATCTCTACTGTTTTATATCGATAAACATGTTACTAAATATAATTTAGAAAATAAATATAATGAAAGGCTGTAATAAAGGACATAAGAACAGTTAGCTTATACATAAAATATATATGAATATTCAATTTCATATTAAAGAAATCAGGTATTAATCCCTGATATGGTTTGGCTGTGTCCCCATCCAAATCTCAACTTGAATTGTATCTCCCAGAATTTCCATGTGTTGTGGGAGAGAGGTAACTGAATCATGGGGGCTGGTCTTTCCTGTGCTATTCTCGTGACAGTGAGTAAGTCTCATGAGATCTGATGGGTTTATCAGGGGTTTCCGCTTTTGCTTCTTCCTCATTTTCTCTTGCTGCTGCCATGTAAGAAGTGCCTTTCACCTCCCACCATGATTCTGAGGCCTCCCCATGTGGCACTCAGCCATGTGGCACTGTAAGTTCAATTAAACAGAAAGAAAGAAGAAAGGAGAGAGAGAGAGAGAGAGAGAAAGAGAGAGAAAAAATAAACTCTTCAGAGCTTTCTTTTTTTTTTTTTTTGAGACTGAGTCTCACTCTGTCGCCTAGGCTGGAGTGCAGTGGCACGATCTCAGCTCGCTGCAACCTCCAACTCCCAGGTTCAAGCAATTCTTGTGCTTCAGCCTCCCGAGTAGCTGGGATTACAGGTACGCGCCACCATGCCTGCCTAATTTTTTTATTTTTAATAGAGATGGAGTTTCACCATGTTAGCCGGGCTGGTCTCAAACTCCCAGTCTCAAGTGATCCACCCACCTCAGCCTCCCAAAGTGCTGAGATTACAGGTGTGAGCCACCGTGCTCGGCCCTGTTCAGAGCTTTCTTCCAGACTCAGTGACCTGGGACTAGAGTGTGGGAAGAGGGTAGATGTGGTTCGTTCACCTGCCATCTTAGATCTTCCCAATGTGCCTTTCACTCCTTCTCTTGACAACTGCCTTCTGTATCTTTCCTTCACTTTCTTCTACTACAGATCATTTTTCTCCTTTTTTTCCCCTCATTCTTCCACTTGTATCATCCTCCAGCTTAATCACCAAAACCCTATCAGGTAGATATAATGCCCATTTTACAAATGAAGAAACAAACGCTCAGAAAAGACAAATTACTTAATCAAGGATACAGGGACTGATAAGTGGCAGGGCCAAGAGATTCCAAAGCTCATGTTCTTTCCACCACACTTTAAAGCAACATAACCCCCTGCTCACAAAACACATTTCTGAATTACTCTAGGTGAGTTCTATCATAACACAATCACCTTTAGAGATTGGCCTGGTTCTCAACCAGGGACAATTTTGCCCCCACGGGACATTTAGCAATATCTACAGTCAGTTTTGGTTGTCAAAACTGGGAGGGTGCTACTGGCATCTAGTAGACAGAGGTCAGGGACACCGCTCAACATTCTACAATGCACTGGAGAGTATTCCACAACAAAGAATCATCCAGTCCAAAACAGCAATAGTGCTGAGGCTGAGAAACCTTGTGACAGACCATGTAACAGAATTTTAAAAACAGTAAACATTCAAAACCAGCCAGTATTAAATTTAGCTATTTGTTCAGTATGATATTCAACGGCAAAAGAGTTGGCATCCTGAATTCTAACAATAGTTTTCTTTAGCCTTGAAACTCACCTTGTCACTCAATTTCTGCATCTCAAGTTCATCATTTGTCAAATGGACATAAAGGGGATACCTTTTGGAAAGCAATGTGGAGTAACAAAAGAATGCGTGTGGCCGGGCGCGGTGGCTCAAGCCTGTAATCCCAGCACTTTGGGAGGCCGAGACGGGCGGATCACGAGGTCAGGAGATCGAGACCATCCTGGCTAACACGGTGAAACCCCGTCTCTACTAAAAAATACAAAAAAAAACTAGCCGGGCGAGGTGGCGGGCGCCTGTAGTCCCAGATACTCGGGAGGCTGAGGCAGGAGAATGGCGTAAACCCGGGAGGCGGAGCTTGCAGTGAGCCGAGATCCGACCACTGCACTCCAGCCTGGGTGACAGAGCGAGACTCCGTCTCAAAAAAAAAAAGAATGCGTGTTTTAGTCAATTAAACTAAAAATACTAGCTCCAACACTGGAAAGATTACTTAATCCTTCTGAATCTCGGATTCATCATGTATAAAACTGTGATGATCACGAGTACCCTCACAGATTGTTGTGAGGACTCACAGCAAATGCTGAGAACAATTCCCAGCACACAGTGTTCCCCAAGTGTTAGAATGGACCAGCACACCAAACTGATGCTAAGAAAACTGTGTTACTCAACAGGAGCCATAACACTGATATTATCTGTTGACTGAACAGGCGCAGCCTTTAATCCATCACCAGGCTACATGAAGGTCTAACTGTCCAGTTTCTAGTTGCCAGCATCTACATTTCTTTGCCTGCAGACAGACTGTGCTAAAAATTAGACTCAAGTTCCTACTGTGAAAGCAAGCAAATTACAAAACTGAATTCACAGTCCTGACAAGATTCTTCTGAACCCTCCAGGCCAGAAGCAGCTTTCTTCCTCTTACTACAAGAGGGCAGTCTCCCCTGACTAAAAACTAGCAGAGGTCTCAGCTGGGATGCCTGCCTCCAAAGATGCCTACCCTCCCGGAGATATGTGCCTACCTCCCTCACTGCTTATAGGCTAACAACCAGGCATTGTCAGAATAGGGAGGTATTGGCCCTCCTTTTGATGAAAGCACTGATCCACCAACATAGTATGATATGATGAGATGTACTGGCAAGAACTGGAAGAACATACCTGGATCTTGAGAGTGCTGAACTTGGAGGTCAAGTATAAGGCTGGCAAGGAAATGTCTGTTGACATGGGCCACTCTTCCATGACTCACAATTTAATGTTCCAAAAAGGGCATCCGGAGCCAGTCCTAACATGCTGCTAGAATGGCTCATTTAAGGCGGAAATGTTTCTAATAATGTCTTAAAGGAAATAAATTGAAAATCCCGGAACTGCATGGCAAGGTATTAAGGAAGGAGTCAAAAGAGTGTCCCTATATCCCCTAGCCCCTACCAGGTACACTGGCCTGACAGCACCTGAGGGCTTTCTCTATCCTCGAGTCCATTTTGTTCCCTGCGTGGCACGCCTGACGTGTAGATCTACCACCTCCTGAAAAAAATCTTAATCAATGATTGAAAGAGATGGTATATAAATACTCCACCTACCTTTCCCCTAAAGGACTATAACTATAAGACACAAGTTTTACATTTGCTCCTGGAGTTTCTCAGTGGGAATGCTGTGAAAAAATCAGTACCTGGTTGATAACAAATCTTGTATTTGCAATCTTTGCTGTCTCCCCTCTCCTATCTCACTTCCCACTCCCCTACTGGCTTTTCCAAGGATAACCTCCAAAACAAAATACTTGCATTTAAATCCTTGTCTACAAGTCAGCTACTGAGGGAATTAAGGCATTAAGTAGTTTCATTTCAAGCAATCTCATAATTCAGGTTACACAAAATCCAAACTAATGGGATACACCAAAACTGAGATTACTATAAACCATTTCCCTAGGCCCAGTCAACGTGACTCCATGCTGGTGCTTTAAGTACACTAATGCCTGTATCTTTGTAATTATGCTTTTAACAGTTCCATACCTAATAAGGGTATATCTACTCTAATACCACAGCTGATGAGATGCCCTTGCCATTCTGATATAACCTTGAAGACTAATACTACCACAAATGTAAGTACCTCTCTCTACTTCCTCCCACTTGAACTCCTAGCACTCTGCCTTTTCTTAGCCACACAATCTAGAGATAACCAATATCATTACCTTCACACTAACTCTAATTTCAAACCCTGCCATTTCCTTCCTCATAATCACGCTCATATCCACCCTCTTTTCCCATTTCAACTGCCAAAATCTTTGTCCACACTAATGCACAAATAAAATTCTATGACCTCAGATTCTATGATCTCAGAATCCCCCACCCCTGTCTTCCTGTAGTTCATCCTGTGGGCATAGAGAGAAATCCAGTAGGCACATTTATTGAAACATATCTGGTCTTCAGTGGGTCCGAATTACCCTACTCAGGAGCTTCATTTCACCCAATTTAAAGAACCAGAACACAGCTTCAGTCTACAAAGTATAAAGAAGGCCAGGGTCCTAGCTATGCAAATGTAACGAAGTTTCATAAGCAAAGTTTCTTAAATCGAAAAGGGTTGAAATTTGGCCAGGTGCAGTGGCTCACGCCTGTAATCCCAGCACTTTGGGAGGCCAAGGCAGGCAGATCACCTGAGGTGAGGAGTTTAAGACCAGCCTGGCCAACATGGTGAAACCCAGTCTCTACTAAAACACACACAAAAAATTAGCTGGGTATGGTGGTGCATGCCTGTAATGCCAGCTAATTGGGAGGCTGAGGCAGGTGAATCTTTTAAACTCAGGAGCCAGAGGTTGCAGTGAGCTGAGATGGTGCCCCTGCACTTCAGCCTGGGCAACAGGGTGAGACTCCATCTCAAAAATAAATAAATAAAAGGGTTGAAACTGAAAGTTCCTGGAAGAGGCTGTTTAATATCCTAAGCCCAAAGCAAAACCAAATGAATGGGTTTGGAAAGCACAACCCATGAAATAAAAAAATCAATAGATTGGATTTTATCAAAATTAGCTGCCCTGCAAAAGATACTATTAAGTCAATGAAAAGACAGGCAACTGAGTGACAGAAAATATTTTCAAAACACATATCTGATGAAGTACTTGTATACAAATTATATAAACAACACTGGGCACGGTGACTCACACCTGTAATCCCAACAGGATCTGGAAGGCTGAGGTGGGGAGATCACTTCAGCCCAGGAGTTCAAGACCAGCCTGGGCAACATGGCAAAAGCTCATCTCTACAAGAAAAACACAAAAACCGCCAGGCATGGTGCACACCTGTATTCCTGGCTACTCAGGAGGCTGAGGTGGGAAGGATCACTTGTGCCCAGGAGTTCGAGGCTGCAGTGAACTGTGATCGCACCACTGCACTCCAGCCTGGGTGACGAAGCGAAACCCTGTCTCAAACAAACAAAACTCATAAAACTCAGGAACAAGACAACAGCTCAATCAAAAACAATCAAAAGATCTGAACAGAAAGCTTACCAAAGAAGATACACAGATGGTAAATAAGCATATGAAAAGATGTTCAACAACATTTATTATTTGGAAATTACAAATTAAAACAA